GACAGCAAGTGTGAAAAATCAGGACGGGGGTGGGGGATAATAGGAGCCTATATAAGAAAAAATCCCAAAAATCGGGACTGTCCCTATAAAATCGGGACATCTGCTCACCCTAGATCTGTTCACCAATGCTATGTTTGTCTGGCTGCGTACTGTCTATGTTGTTTCAGAGTAGCAGCCGTGTTAGTCTGTATCCGCAAAAAGAACAGGAGTACTTGTGGCACCTTAGAGACTAACAAATTTATTTGAGCATAAGCTTTCGTGGGCTACTGCACACTTCATTGGCTGCATGCGCATATATATATATATATATATATATATATATATAATCTTCCTACTGTCTTTTCCAGTACATGCAGCCGATGAAGTGGGCAGTAGCCCACGAAAGCTTATGCTCAAATAAATTTGTTAGTCTCAAAGGTGCCACAAGTACTCCTGTTCGTTTTTATTGTGTTTAGCGCATGGGTGCCAGGTTTGTATAGTTTTTGGTGGTGCCCAGAACAGGTCCAAGCAGAACCATCCAGTCCGGGGTAACTGCCCTGGGCCTTGTGCTTTGCGGGGCCCTGCAGTTCAGGGAGATGTGGGGTCCAGGCAGAGCCATCCAATCCATAGGATGGACCAGAGCAACTGCCCAGGCCCCGCGCTTCAGGGGGATGGGGGGTCCAGGGTGGCCTGGAGGGTTAGCAGGGGGCGTCACGCCAAGCAGCCTGCCCCACTCCACCTTGTCACCTCCCGGCTTCGCTCGGGGGAGGAGGAGGCAGAAACGGGAAAGGCTTGGGGGAAGGGGTGGAATAGGAGCGGGCTGGGGGCAGGTCGCTCGATGCTGTTTGTGCCGCTACACCGGCACCAGCCCCCCCCACCACACACACTAACCGCAAAGCTGCCGTGGACCCAGAGCCCTGCACTTTGGAGGGCCTGTGATTCAGGGGGTTGCGGGAGTCAGGGTGGCCTTGAGGGTTAGTGTGAGGTCTGGTGCTGGCAGCAGCGAGCGACCTGGCCCCAGCCTGCCCCCTCTCTGCCCCCATTCCACCCCCGTCTCTTTCAGATTCTGCCCCCTCCCCCAAGCGACGCTGGCAGAGCAGGGTGGGCTGGGACCAGATTGCTCGCTGCTGCTGGCGCCAGGCCACCCTGGACCCTGCATCCCCCTGAAGTGCAGGGCCCCCTGAAGAACGGTAAGTCCAAACATCAGTGGAGCGGGGCCCATGTTCCTAAACATTGGTGAAGCACGGGCACCACGGACCCATATAACTTGCCGCCTATGGTGTAGCGTATATATGTACAAACCTGTATGTGTGGCTTGGGTACAGAGTGCTGTGAAGATGCGTCCACTGCCTCTGCATGTCTATAAACTCAGGATTTCTGTGCATGCTTTGTGCTTCATGGAGAGTTGTGTATCTGCATGTATGATCTGTTTTATTTTTGTGTGTGCTGTTACATGATTGTCAACAGTGACTACTCAGACCTTCAGTGCATGTGACCTCATGCCTTTCTGGTTTGTTGGCTTTAACTACAAGTCTTTGGCAATCCTTTTGTGACTCCGATATTTTATCTGGCCTCTAAACAGTGCAAAAACCCATTTACTGAATGAAATATTATTAAATGATAAAATGCATTAACGTCACAAAATGCATATAAAATTAGGTGAACTGCATGGTACCTACTATTGGGTATTTGAAAATCACCATAACTGAAACACTTTACAACAAGCATGTTCTGGGTGTTGGTTCATTCTTTCCTAAATGTGGTTTTCAAACTGCAGATATATTACTGATTGTCTCATAGGGTGCTGGTGGGTCACTTGGTGCTGGCTCCCTATATCCAGCTGCTATTACAGGTTTCCAGGCTCTTGTAAAGAAGAAGTGGGAAAGAAAGGAGAGAGAGAGACTAGTTGCCTCCAGTAGGGGTTCTTGCTCCACAAGACTAGACAGCTCCTTTTTCGCACCATCAGAAGCAAGAATGAATGGCCAGGGAATTATTTTCAGGGGAATAGAGGACTAGGCTACAGCAAACCTCGTGCAACAGGGCAGAGTAGGGGAGAAAGGAATAATACAATTGAGAGTGCGAGATTAAGATAAAAAGGTGACAGTACTTTTGGGGGGGAATGCACTGAGCACTTACCATTTTAAAGAAGATTAAAGTACCTACATACTTTTGTGATATTTTACCACATGAGCAATTGCTGTACTTGCAATAGGGATGCTGTGCAATCATAAACAGGACTACTGATAACAGGTTGGGAAGGGATGGGGTCTGTAAAACAATTCCTGGATTAAGATCTGGTCAGCACTATGATAGTTTGAGAATCCCTGCCTTCCTATATTGTATCTAAACTAAAAGCCAGACCACTGCATCTTGAATTGTGATTTGGTGACCATCAGACCACATGTGGTCCATGGAGAGTTGGCTCTTTAGTGTGCTGGCTTTTCTTCTTGATTCCATCTGCTAATGCACATTATAGAAAGCTAAGGTACATTAAATACTTTCCTGATATTATTTTCCCCATGTAAATTGCTGCAGGTGCCACAGAAGTGCTACACAATTGCACATGAAGGGTGGTAGACTCAGTAGTTTTGAATATGAGAAATGGATCCATGAAAAACTGTATCTGTAAGATGTGGTCCTTGCTATTAAAGTATAGATGAGTCTAGATAACAAAAACCACAACTGTAAACAAAAAAAAATAGTATTCCAAAATGCAGAAAGTGTCCTAAGATAAAGAGAAGGGTGTGATGTCAGATGATCCAGCTGACTCATTAATATGATTAACAGATCTGATTTAAGTGCCTAATAGAGTATGGAGGAATAGACACTTTTTCATGTGTGAAACAGTTTTGAGTTAAGCTTTATCCTAGGGCTGTCAATTAATTGCAGTTAACTCAAGCAATTAATGAAAAACAAATTAACTAGATTAAAGAAAGTAGTCACGATTAATCAGTTTTAATCACACTGCTAAACCATAACAGAATACCAATTTAAATTTATTATAAATATTTTTGGATGTTTTTCCATGTTTTCAAATATATTGATTTCAATTACAACACAAAATACAAAGTGTACAGTGCTCATTTTATATTATTATTTTTATTACACATTTGCACTTCAAAAAAGATAAAAGAAATAGTATTTTTCAATTCACCTCACAAACACTACACTGCAATCTCTTTATCGTGAAAGTGCAACTTACAAATGTAGTATTTTGTGTTATGTAAGGCACTCAAAAAAGTGTAAAACTTTAGAGCCTACAAGTTTATGCACTTATCCACTCAGTCCTACTCTTTGTTCAGCCAATTGCTAAGACAAACAAGTTTTACATTTATGGGAGATAATGCTGCCCACTTCTTATTTATGTCACCTGAAAGTGAGAACAGACATTCACATGGCACTGTTGTAGCCCACGTTGCAAGGTTTTTGTGTCAGATATGCTAAGCATTTGTATGCCCCTTCGTGCTTCGACCACCATTCCAAAGACTTACATAGGCGGGTCATCCATTGAAGCTAATAGGACTAGTCAAGTGCATAAAGTTAAGCAGGTGTGTAAGTCTTTGCAAGATCAGTGCCTAGAATAAGACATATCATCAATTCTTTGTCTGTCCTTCAAAGGCATATTTGAATCTCAGAAGTCAAAGTAGTCCCCCAAATCCACCCCCTCACTGCTTAATGTTGGCTCCTCATTAGCTGCCCCTCATCTGCTATTGAAATAAAATGTGGCAGATTTATTAATTAAATAAACAGAGCTGGACAGGAAATGGTTTACTTGACTCCTATTTTTTTTCCTCTCACCAACAGATGTTGTTCCAATAAAAGATATTACCTCACTCACCTTATCTCTCTACACCTAGCACACCACTTTCGTGGTATTTATCCATAAATGTCATTTGAGTTCTCTAATAAAAGCCTATGTCAGTGATCCTCACAATCACCGCAAGATGTGTTTAAGGATTTGTGTACATGTACTAGAAATATGTTCTAAAGTCTGTCACCAGCCAAAGAGAAAAACAGGTGTCTTCCAGACAGGAAGTCTTTCTGTCAAAATGTAAATTAAACATTGTAAGTCAGCACAATGGGAGCCTTATTTCCATACTGAGCCAGGACTTGGAGGAAAGGAGCACACTGGAGAATGAACGACAACGGCTTGCCCTGTCTCTGGGGGCAGACAATGAACTTTGGGGGATATAAGGGAAAGGCAAAAGGACACCCTTTTATCCTGCATCTGTGGAAGTAATCAGGCAGTGCAATTACATTCATGAAATATGGACAGGATCCCAGCCTGCCTTGGTTGGAAGCACTGTATAGGACATTTGGGTGAGATAGACTTCCTGACACAGAAAGTTAGCCTGTTCAGTTACACCTCTGGAATGTGTTATGATTTTGTTTTATATGTAAACTTTCCACTTCCATTTTTTACTGACTAGCTCTTAAATCTTAATCTTTGATAGTAAATTTGTGATTGTTTTCACTATAAATATAACTCAGTGCTGTGGTGTTATACAAGCTGACCCTGTGTTGAATCGAACAAGCTGGGGGGTATAATGTTCCTCTGGTATAACTGAGTGTTCAGTGGATAAGGGGCTAAACAGTACAGAGGAACACTTGAAAGGGGCTTGGGGACTGAGTACACCTATTGTTAACCTGCAAGGCCAAGTAAGGACTGGCATTGCCCTGAGGAGATGGTTTGGGTGGCTAATATACTGGAATTAAGCACAAACAAGTCTTCCTCTTGCTGGAGGCAGGAGGGTAACAAGCTGACTCAGAGTCCTGGTACTCCAAAAACCATCACACACGTAAAATATGGTTCAAAGCAAATCCTGCTAATAAAGTTTTAACTTTTGAATATGGGGAAAGGTATGACCTTACTAAATTCTGTGTTCTTACAGAATTCATCATAAAATTGGTTAGTGATGAACTGGCAATTTCAAAGCAAACATTTTTAGAGGACACCACCCTAGCAAACTTAATGATAGTGATGGTTAAGATTTTGGAAACCAGCTATGGCAGACTTGAGGAGGGCTAGATCATTAGTTTGGCTGTGTTGTCACTTTGATTTGCATTACTTTACATTCACGTTGAAGTTAACTATTGTAGTCCTTACTCAATGCTTAATCAGACAAATTTCCATTGTTTTCAATGAGTTTTTCCTGATTAAGGAAAATCTAACAAACTGAGGATCAGATTATGCTGTATACAGCTGTGGAAGGGGGAGACAAGAAGGCTTCCTTCCAGTTTTGTGGCCTGCACAAGAGCTCGGCATATCTGTACTTTGGAAGGTGCAGAGGCTGTTCCTTCTCTATTCCTCCAGGGTGCACACAATGCCCTAGAGGGGGATGCAAGGCTATTACTTCGCTCCATATCACACCATCCCATAAATGGTGACCGGTGCAGCAGGAAAATAAGCAGCACTCTTATGTTTTCCTCCCTCCGGAGTAGAGAGGTATGTCTCTCCACTGATGCTAACATGGGGTTGTGTTTAAATGGCCCTAATGGTTTGTTTAAACTTTTGGTGTTGAAAAAGCCATGTAATTTGATTGTAAGACTTGGCTAAAACCACATACAATACTCAAACAGATGCTTAATCTTTCTAAAAATATCAGTTTTAAGTACTTATTTTCAAAGTACTGAAGAGTTCTGAGAAGGAAGGGGCTGTGCTGTGAAAACAAGTTCTTTCCTAAAGGTTCCAACTATCTGGTTACCATGGTGGGTAAAAAGAAGCAAGATTTTTAGAAATAAACATTACATTAGTGTCCTGTTGGTTTGCCATAGATCTGTTCCCTACTACCACTAGAGTTGGTGACCTTTTAGGGTTGTATATAAAGTAGAGCTGTCAATCGCAAATTGCAAGTGATTAACTCAAAACAAATTAACTTGGTTAAAAAAATTGTGATTAATTGCAGTTTTAATTGTACTGTTAAACTAATAGAATACCAATTTAAATTTATTATACATATTTGGATGTTTTTCTACATTTTCAAATATTGATTTCAATTACTACATAGAATACAAAATATATACAGTGCTCACTTAATATTTTTATTACAAATATTTGCACAGTAAAAAAAATATATTTTTCAATTCACTTCATACAAGTACTGTAGTGCAATCTCTTTATTGTGAAAGTGCAACTTACAAATGGATTTCTAGGCTCTAAAGTTTTACATTGTTTTATTTTTGAGTGCAGTTATGTAAAAAACAAATAATTCTACATTTTTAAGTTTCACTTTCAGGATAAAGAGATTGCACTACAGTACTTGTACAAGGTTAATTTAAAAATACTATTTCTTTTGTTTATCTTTTTTACAGTGCAAACACGTGTAATTAACATATAGCGAGCACTGTACACTTTGTATTCTATGTTGTAATTGAAATCAATATATTTGAAAATCTAGTAAAACATCCAAAATATTTAAATAAATGGTATTCTATTATTGTTTAACAGTGCAATTAAAACTGCGATTAATTGTGTTTTTTTTAATCTCGCGATTAATCACAATTAATTTTTTAATCGTTTAACAGCCCTAACATAAATTGAACATTTTAGTGAATAGTACAGCTCAATATATATGTAATGAGCAAGAGTTTTTCTCTTTTTTTAAAAAAAAAAGAGTGAATTTCCAAACTTTAGTGTTTCACTGATTTAAGTGTTCGGGACAGAAACAAAAAAAGAGACACATAGGTACGGACCTCTTTCTCATCACTAGGCACATTGTGCTAAAAATAATTTCAAGGACCTCTCCTGCATATATGCAACTTGCATTTTTATTCTGAGAAAATCAATTTTGAAGTCACACTCTTCTTACTAAGACTCCTAGAATAAAATGTAAATTTTTCTGTAATGCAATAGGGATCACTGAACTTATTGTGAACAAAAAGTTCTTTTGAATATACTGTGTCTAGGGCTAACTTTTTACTTTGATTATCCTTTACATTCCTAGGAACAAATCAGATTTCTAGAGCTCCTGGCTCTGAATAGTGCTGGCAAACTTTTAATTTTGTTACACTGAGAGACTTACCTTATTTTTACATGGAACTTGGAGACAGAGGTTATAGAATTACTTGTAGTCAACCACTCTAAGCAAAGGCATTATGTCTCTATTCATGCTTTCTTTTTGTTGCACTGAGGAATTTATTGTTTTAAAGTTCTCTCTGTGCCCACTGAAAACAGATGTTATTGTCCTATCACATCACAAGCTCTAATTAATCACAATAATACATAGCAAGACAAATACTTTCTTCGGGCTGGTTGTTCTGTCTAGGGATACTCGGCATCAATTTATTTTTATTTTTCTGGCCAATTTATAAAATACTCCCAGTACCAAGGTTTCAAGGCACACAGTTGTTGTTTTTTTAAATACACCATCTCATTTTAATGAGGAAATAAAAAAGAGAGAGAGAGAAAATAAATACCAGTCCCTTCATATAAAGGCTTGGGAAAATGATTGGAGCTTAGTGACCACTATATTAATGATTAAGAGTAACAAATTATCATAATGTCTTACTAGGCATTATGAATAAACCTCCAGATGCACAACATTTTCCCTTAGAGAAATCTGAAACCTAGCTGGACCAATCATCCTCTGTTGATGACCTTTTCCCTGAAGGAAGAAATGGCAAGTTCTGATCTCTATCTGAAGAAGCTCTGACCATAACAAAGTGTGGTCTTCACCTCTTTGATCACAAAATCCAGCCTAAACACAAGATCCAGAATGTGCCCACCTACATGTATAAAGGCAGCAGAAGGAAATAGGCCCACAATTGATATGGTGGCTATGAAATCCTGAGCCAATCAAGAAGAGCCATTGTTGGTTTTATGGCCTCTACATTATAAATATGCCACTTTTCATTCCTCATGTCCCTACCAGGGTTGCTGGAACAATTTGTATAGTGGGGGTGCTGAGAGACATTGAACCAAACTGTAAACCCTGTATATGATGGATACCACTTCAAGCCAGGGTATCCGGAAGCATCCCCACACCTGTAGTCCCAGCACCTATGGTCCCTACCCCCTAGTCACTTAAACAAAATGAACACATACCAACAAACCAATTTTTGGAGTGGACTGCCTCCTGCATATCAAAACAGATGAAAATAACACTGGGTTTAAAACAACACTGTTGCTAGCAGGGGTTAGATTCCCAGATCAAGGAGAGAAAACACTGTTTTCTGACAACCATGTAGGCTAGACAATACTGGAGATTAGTTTCCTAGGTAATCTAGTGTAGTTTTATAAAACAATTTTCAGAAAACGCTTTTCCCTGGTCAGAGAAACCAAGCTATAATCCTTGTTTCTGCTGTTCAGAGAATCCATGCTATAATCCTACCAACCAACCAAGTGTAAACCTGGTTATACCTAGCTTGGTTCCAATCATAGCGTACATGTGGCCTTCATGGGCAATATGAGGAGTGTGTAATATCCTCCTGATTTTATAATAAATAATGCTTAATGCTCATATAGGACTTTGTGTCCATAGATCTCAAAATATTTTATAAAAATCAAAAATCATCATTATTCTCATGTTACAGATGGGGAAACTGAAGCAATGGTGAACTGAACAAAACAAGTCAATGGCAGAGCTGGGCCTAAAGCTCAGGATCTCCTATCAACCAAATGCTTTCATTTCTTCAGACTATGCTATCTTCCATGTCACATACAGTATGTTCATGACATGGGCCCTTGTAAATGTCTCCCTCTTTGTGTTCAATAACAGAAACAAGGATTTATGTATGTCTCATTTCTGCAGGCCGTCTCACATTTCTCATTTGTGTTACTTTCTTTTGTTCTGACTCCCTGAGCCTACCACACTGAAACCCCCCCACAATTTTTCATCAATGTTTTGTTGTCCTGTTTTTAATACCCCAAGAAGATCCTCATATCTTTATTTTGCATATACACAAGTGTGATGTGATTTAGCTGTCACCAGTATGATCAAAGTTCTGAGTAGTCAGGTTGTGGACAACAAAACACAAGGACTGTAAACAGTATGCTTGGCGTAGTTTATGTGATCTTCCACTGCGTCACCAGTTGTTTGATTTTCTGCTTTCTAGTACATCTCTTGGAGCTGGACAAAGTTCACAGGGTAAAGAGTACTGCTCAGTGATCTATATAACAGTTTTGTCAGTCATTCTCTTGTCTCATTAGGCTCAAGCTTATGTGTACTGTGCAGCAACGATTTCACATAAGTCTGTAAGTGGCCTGATTTGTAGAATAAGTATGTACCTGTGCCTCCAATGAATATGAACCTGTGATGTCATTGTCCATCCCCAATCCAAGTACTGAGAGTTACATTTGAACAACATGAACATCTCACTGAAACTTGCCAATCTTTCTTCTTTGTTATAACACGTGAAAATAAGTCAGAGCAACTATGACAAAATTGTAATCAGAATCTTATTCATGCTCTCATTGTATGGTAAATACTTAAAATACAGTTAGCACCTGAGTTTTTAGGGGAGGTGTGTCTGTTTGTATGCAGGGGGTGGGGGTTCCCTGCAGCCAGTAACCTTTAAATCTGGCATCCGTCAATAAAAGAGGAAAAAAAGAGAGGTGGGGAGAAAGAGAAGGTCTGCAGCAGACTTGCCCAAAATGGAGCCAATGTTCACAGCTTTGCACACTGAGTTCTGTTTTCATCACTGTCAGACGTCACCATTAGATTTGATTTGATCAGATCTGTCCTGCACTGTTGTATCACCTTTCAAACTGATAGCATAAAAAACAAAGAGAGAAGGTTACAGGAAACAACCTTTTGAAATGGCCTGTCTCTCACTGCTATGTAATCCCTTTTCTCTCTAACCTCAGCCAATTTACAGAAACCAAGGCATGGTAGCTGAATAAATAAACACAAATCTTTGCAGTAAATCATTAGCAGTATGCTTTTATTATCATTCATAAAATCATAACTATACTCTATACTTTATTGCACCTTTCTTAGGGACTCTCAAAACCTTTTAAAAACATTAACAAATTTAGCCTCAAGAGCCCTGAGGTTGGTAAGTATTATCCCCATTTACCACATAGTGAATTAGAGACACGGAGAAGTTAAAGTGATTTGCTCAAAGTCATACAGCAAGTCAGTGACAGAACTGGGATTAAAATCTAATATCTTTTGGATGCCCCCATAATATGCCACAACAAAAGGTTTACTAAAGCATTAATCTAGCTAGGTATTTATATTGCTCTCATCTCCACAGTACCGGAGCACCTCCATTAAAACAAGTCTTTACCAAGGTAGTGCAGATCCATCCCAAGCAAAGAACCTTCCTGTTTTCACCATATCAAGGTTCTCAATAATATTCATTAGACAATTAACTGAATATTCTGGGGTGAACAGTTTGTCCTTGGGAACATTCCTGTGATAAGGCTTTGATAAGTCGGTATTCACAGTTCCTGGATGCAAAGAAACACACACCACTTTAGTTTTCCCTCTTCCAAGTTCAATGCTGAGATTCTTGGTAGCCATGTTCAAAGCTGCTTTAGACATCCTGTAGCTATACCATCCACCTAAGGCTAAAAACAATATGTCAGGTAAGCAAGTTCTGCAAAGCCACAAGCAACATTGTGTCATAATTGTCGCATGTTCATATATTTGGCAGATTTCAGAATAATATATTAGTGAATATCCCTTTGGTCATTTGCTGATACATACAGTATTATCCAATATTTTTTAAGCCATGGGGAAGGCTGTATTTCTTTCATGAAAAAGATCTAGCAAAACCAATGGAATCATCATTATCTTGCTTGTCTTTCTAAAAGATAAGTTCCCTGCTCAACCAGATGTTATGAATTTGATGCAAGAACCACTGCATAAAATTCTGTGGTCTGTGTTATGCTAATCTATTTTGACTTTTTGCATAACAGTCCTTAAAATCTATGAAAAACACAACAAAATAAGTAATGATAGAGAAAAGAACAGTGGACTCTTACTGTTTACCCCTCAGTTTCCTTCTAAATTCAATTACCTAGTATTTGTACATTTACCTCCCCATGTTTATTTGCCCAGAGACAGATAGGAAGTCAATGGCAGAACTGAGAAGTTTTCAGGACGTCCTTTCTCCCAGTTCTGTACTCAATCTACTAGTTAACACTGAATTCAAGGTTCATGTTTACCTATGCAATGCTAGCATTGCCATCTGATTAAAAAAATACCATAGTGTCTATTTTAGAATTACTTGTGTTGGATAATTAATTCCCTGAGAGTATGAGTCAACAGTCAGAAATGAGTAACACTCTCTAATTTTATATTAATATTATACATAAAATAAAAGTTTTTTTCCTTCTTACTTTAGCATGTAATTAATCCTTTTCACAAAGTCTCAGAAATGCAGCTTTATGTAAAGGATTTTTTAAATTTACTGTTAGAATAATTCTCAACTTTTTATAAAGCTGTTTATCCAGAAAAATCCACAGTGTTTTACAAATGATATATAAAAGGTGTATAAAGAAATGACTTCTGCACCCCCTAAATGCACGCACATATGAGGTAAACATGCAATGTATAAGCTAGTGCACAGCAGTACTACACAACAAAATACAACTGGAAGTGAAAGATATATCTAATTTAAACTGCAGGAGGAAGTTTAGAGAAACAAAAAGGAATAACTCAAAATGGAATTTTGCCAAGACACCAGCGTTAACGTCCTATTCTTGAAAAAAAGGGCCTTAGAATCTTCAGTTACCATAAGTGGTCAGGTTCTTTCATGCTTTATAACACACTATCATTTTGTATCATGCCTTTCATAATTTTGTTCTATAACAGGTGCAAGCAAAGTCTGAACAAAGAAGCCTGGTATGTTTCAAAACCGCTGTTTCATTGGGAAAACTGACTGGAACTTGTAACAGAGTGGGATATGACAGGATCAAATTATGAACTCTATGTTGTACTGTGTGGAAACAGTACCGATATGACTGCATAAATCTGAACTTGCCCAAGGGGCAAGGGGTTTGGCACCTCATTGCAGGGCTATCACTGAGAAGCCATCAAGACTGCAATCTGGGGCCACTGACTTTGATTGTCTCTGAACTTTTGGCTCTACCCCCACAGAACAATGTTTTTTCTACACGAGTTCACAACATGGGAGGATGAACAACTATGGCTGGTGGATCTGGAGTTTCTCAGTTGGAGCACACATCATAAAGACAGAGACCCTATTTAAGAGGGAGGTTCTGTTCTGTGCAGGCGGCTGAGCACTGCCAGCCGTAAGAAGGACGTGCAGGAGAGACACTGCCCAGCTTGAAACTCTGATCAACCGCTGACTCTCAGAAGGGGTGAGCTAAGACTAGGGGCATCTCAGGACTTCTGTTATTTTCAAAAGATCTGTAACTGTGACCCAAGAACCTTTTAATGCCAACTGGCCAGGGGGTATACAGGGTTTATAGAAATCTCATGAGTCTTGTGTATACATTCTAGTTAATCAAAGAATGCCATGTGATCTCAAATAAAAGCCATTGTCACAATGGTCATTAGTATAATTGTAAAAAGAAGAACAGGAGTACTTGTGGCACCTTAGAGACTAACAAATTTATTAGAGCATAAGCTTTCGTGGACTACAGCCCACTTCTTCGGAACTGTAGTCCACGAAAGCTTATGC